ATTTTTGGCCGAGCCTATGGGCTCGGAGAAACCCACTTTCAACTCGGCCTTGTGCCACATATATTCCTCGTGGGTGGGATATTAAATACTGAGGCAGTATTATTTTTGTTACTTCCTGTCTCTTTCCCTTCTCTCCCTATTACCCCTGTAGTTGCTGGGAGAGCAATCAGGTGTTTTTCTTAATCTCAACACACTCTTTGCTCACATTTACAACAGATAGATCATAAAATCACCAACATGCTTAAAAACTCTGAAAATTGGACATTGTTTTCTCTGGGGGGGATTTTTTGGAATTTCAGGTAAAAGACTGCATCTTTATATGCTTAAAGTGTGGCACAAAAGAACTCTGTCATCATGATAATGCATATAAAGTCAAGTGGGCCCTAAATGGTTTTATCTGACTCTGAAGTGGCTGGTGTTTTTATGACCAGAAGTAAAATCTATGAAGTATGATCTTCAAAGCAGTCATCCACTTGACCAAAAGACGGAATAAAATAGATAAATAAATGCAATCTTTTGAGAACAAGTATAACTGGGTTGAAAGTTGGAAAGCTGTACTCACAAACCAATGTAAATGGTTAGTTAGAATGGCAGGGAGTTCTGGGCTGTTCAAGAGTTCAGATACTGTCCATTAGAGAGTAGTTTCAAGAGATGTGCAGATGTATGGCGGGAGAGTTAGTTCTCCCTCTCTTAAAGGGAAAGACTGATCTGTCTCATGACAGAAGTAGCAGAAAAATGTGTCTACTCTCCAGACAGTACAAGTGAATCACTGAGTAAACAAATATATTGGAAACTGGATTTGAATGTTCATTTCTCACCATGGCATTAATTACTACCTTTTGTTACCTTGGAAATGTACAGTGGACTTTTCCAGGTTTTTGTGCATACAGACACAAATAAGAATCATGGCAGAGTTGGGATGATTTGTCCAGTCTGTGAAAAGCTGACAGAGGGATGTATGTACAGAAATGTTTTTAGATTTTGTTGTGGTTTCAGTTTAAATTTTATTTAAGCATTTAAACTGATTTTGTCTCTGGGTTTGAATGGAGAAAGAAAATATTTTCAAGTAGTAAAATGACATAAAATAAGCATCTGACTGCATTTAGCTGAGAGATGTTTTGTTTGCTGTGTCTTCAATGAATTGCTTTTTGAAATTTTCTTGACAGTTTTGCATAATAGGACTGAATGTTTTTTGTGTCATTCCTAACAAATTAGTTGAAAGTTAATGCGTTACATCGCTACTAGTATTTGGCTTTTTTTAATTAGAATTTTGTTTTCAATTAGACAAGGTTTAGGAGAGATAACAAAAAGAACATTTATTAAGAGCTACAGAGGACAGGAAATTGTGGAGAGCCATGATTGCCAATGTTGTGAAAAGACATGGCACATAGAAGATTGGACATGAATTAATTTTTCTTTTTACTTTTTGTAATTTAAAGTACAGGAAAAATATTGATAGTGGCACTGGAAATGGAATCTGCATTCCGAGTTCAAATCCTGGTTGATGTTGTTAGCATTCACTTTCAAGTCATGCACTTGAAAAAAGGCATAAATTCACCTCTCAGCTATTATTGTAAAATGTATTTTCCACCATAGTAGGAACTCCCCCCAATATTACTGTGTCTTGTACCCTGGTGATTAAGTTACTGGTGCAAGACAAACACCTAAACACCTGTGTTTGACATGCTTATCTCCTGATAACCTCAAACTGAAATTTATGATTTAAAAACCAATGTTCTAAATAAGGATGAAATTGTTGTTGGCAGCATCTGTCCGTCTCGAGAGATGGAGTAGTGCGGGATATATGGAGAACTAGGGCTGCCCAGACATCTAGTTCCCTTTCTTGGCCTTGCTAGCAGAGTCCAAAGGAGAGGATAAACCAATATAGTTTGGTACCAGTGTGGCTGCAGGAGTTGCCAGAAGGTAGCACAAAGTGCCGTCCATCCACCTTAGGGGCTCCACTCGGGTTTGAATTCAGAGTTGTCCTTCTCCTAGACCAGTTGCCACCCAAGGCTATAGAACCCAGCCTGTCCTGCTATTTACCCATAGCTGGAGGGAGAAGAGGAGGATTCACATCTTTCCCAAGGGTATTAGCACATAAGTGAATGTAATGGATTCAAATGGAATTCGAACTCGGCTCTCCAATGCCTCAATCCAAGCCGCTATCCATTACTCTGCCGTGCCTCCTCAAGGATGAAATATTAGTTGAATATTTTTACCTAAATTTTTTTTTTACAAATTATAGATGCATATTGTTTATATGGTAGGGAGTTTGTATTTTTATTTTTTTCACTTAATATTTACGTCTAACTATCTCAACACGTTTTCTTAACAAGAATCATAGCAAAAAGTAATTTCATCCATTTTTTTTTTTTTTTAATATATGATCTGTTTCCTTATGAAGAAACATTTGGCATTCATTGACTGAGTAGCCAGTACTAATAATGTTGGTTGAAATTTATAAATTCAGGAAAATAGGTTTCTCAAGTCCAGTAGCTGTTATCACTCTTTCCAGTATTGATGGGAGTTTCCTTGCTAATCTTTTATTTGAAGTTGTGTGGAATGTCAACATCTTGTCATTTTCTCTTTGAGTTATATGTGATCTTCATTTTAGTACTTGAAAGTTCTTGGTTGATGTGGTTTGTTATTTGATACAGTTTTTTGTTTGATTCTGTAGCACCACTTTTTATCTTACGTTATTGGCTTAATTTTATTAGATATACATAGCAGGTAACCTATAATTTTGTTAATCTATTTCATGTTGGCATTGAGTTTTGCAAGTACACAATTGACTAGGAAAAAAAAAACTTATTTTAGTTGTATTCCCTTTGAGGATGGGTCTTTCAGTTAGCTGGTCATTTCTGTCACCAGTGAGCTAAGCCTGTAAAAATTGCGGACAAGAGATTATAATGATGTGTGCAAAGCACTCACAAAATTGTGCTGCCTGGTGAGTTTAAGTGCCTGTCAGCTGTCTGGCTCAATATTGAAATGGACACTCTTAACATGTAGGTAAAGTGAAATCTGTATCACAAGTACCCAGGTATTGGAGAGGGAAAATCAAATAGAACATGAATATTGATTTATTATATCACTTTGTGGATAACTAGTACTTTTTTTCATTGACATAGCCAGGAAAACTGTTATCTATTTAATAAAATAGATAGTGACATAGTCTGAAGCTACTGACCATGGATGCTAATTCTGTATTTGTGTACAAAAGCTCAGTTTTGTAGTGATTGAACAAAATGATTTTTTTTTTTTTTTAAATGTCAGATTTATTCAGGATTGTTTGATTAGGGTAGATTTGAATGAAAGCACAGATTTTGAATTGGCTTTCTTGTCCTAACTCAGAAGCTTATTTTAAAATTTTTTTCACAATATTCAAAACTTAGCATTGCTGAGCTTTCTAAAGTAGTTATTTTACAAAACTGGTGTTAGTTTTTCCTCATGTTTGGACTTTAAGTTGTATTTTTTTGCATTGTTTTGAATAGGAGCATTTATTCCAAGCCTTTCTCATCTGCTGTATTTAATGAAATATGTTTAAAAGAAAGGTAGCTGCCCAAATATACATTAGCATATATATATATATATATATATATATATATATAATACACAGTTTTAAGGACTGCTATATTTATAGGTAAAAGTGCTCAGTATCAGGGATAAAAGCATGCGTGAATATAAAAGTGGACACTGAGCACAGAGTGGTGATAGTGTTTCAGGCTTAAAGATTGTATTCAAGCATGAAACATTGTTACTTGGTGTTGACGTCAGTGCCCACTTACATATAATTTCCCCCACTCCACCCACTAAAAAGTTCAGTAAGATTTTGTTTCAGTTATGAAATATGGGAAATAACTAGAATCTTCAAAAACATTATAAACGGACATATAGAAACCAGTATTATAGATTTGCTGATGAAAATATTTTTGCTGATGTGAAAAAGAGAAAAAAATATTTCCATAGTCATTCACTGTTTTGCTATTTTCTCTGATTTGGTGCTTCATTCAAAACTACTGATGCCAGGTTGTCAAAAGCTAAAATGAATCTTGCAAGATGGTTGTCAATAAATAGTCAAAAAATAAAATTCACATTTTTGTGATCTATTTTTTTTTATTTTTTATTTTTCATATCAAATTTAAAATAGCAAAATTTTTTTTTATTTTTTTTTTTTTTTTTTTTATGATCGGAAAGAAATCAATTTTTGATAAAGGACACTTGTGACTTAGTTGTGAATACTCTAATTCTTTTCTTTTTGTAAGCCTATTTTGATTTTGTGATCAATTAAGATTTATTTTTTACAGGTTAAATTCAATTTCTGATCTAAATTCTGTTTCTTGATTCTCTTCTGGAATTCTAGACTTTACCTTTTTCTTTATCCAGAACATATTTTGTGATAGTAACAAATTTAACTTATTTTTAATCAACTATTTGGTTATGCAATACTTATTGCATTTTTTTTTTTTTGTTTGCAATTTGAGTTATAGATTCTTACATGCCATTATATAAGATCAAACAATTGGTCCGAGTTTATTGTTGAAATCTTATTTATTCGTTATGATGTGCTTTTTCTGATATTCGTGGTTTAGTCAATAAATTTTCTAACTGCACACTCCCAGGTTTCTCACCCTTCTGGGTTGGAAGGCAATAACTGAAAAATAGAGATTTATTCCTCAAGCAGTACCACTCTGTTGCATTAAGGTGGGTTGGGTCAAAAGAATGTTTACAATGCTTGTAAGTTGTATAAGTGAGGAAACTGGCAATTTCTGAAGAATCCACTATATAACAAAGTGCTATATGCCCGACACAAAAGACTTTGTGCCACATTTGTTTTGGGGAGGGAATGACAGTTCTATATTATAAAAGAACTGATGATCCCCCCCCCCACACACGCACACTGTGGGGGACTTTTAATGCATGTATCTGTTTTACATATAATGTATATATGTATGTTAATTGTGCATCAGTGACCTATATATGCTTTTACCATTTAATGTATGGTCAAATCACTGGAAAACATTGGTTCCCATTTGATCACTGTAGTTAAGCAGTGTCAAACCAGGTCAGTACTTAGATGGGCAGCTGCTTGGGAACACCATGTACTGTAATCAACCTACTACAATCTGTTTAGGCTTTAAATAACCCATGAAGAGTTGCTAAGTCCTAAAAATACAAATCAATTGATCCCACTCAGTTTGGAGAACCCCTACTCTGGGATGAGCAATAAAATCAAAATTGGAGAAAAAAAAATTTATTTTTCTAAATCCTAAAAGATCAGATAATTATAAAGTTTAATTTTTTGGAAATTAATCAGTAATAAAAAATTAAGTTTTATTTTTTAATTTTGTAGAATTATTCTGAGGTCTGTTATTAAATTACAATATGCCTAGGCACACAAATACACAATTTGGAGGAAATGTAAATGGATACTTTTATATGGGTCAGTTTCCTTTACTGTCTAGCAACAACTCTTGGGTAACAGTAAAAAAAAAAATATGCATAAGCTAGTTGCTTGAAGTAATTTTATGGATTTTTCTATATTTAAACTGAATATATCTTCTAATAAATGTACAGTGTAACCCGGATATAAGAGATTTTCTCTGGTCCCAAATTAGAGCCTGTGTTAATGTATATAAAATAGACCAAACCCGGATATAAGAGACTTCTTCTCCGGTCCTGACAACTCTCTTATATCTGGGTTACACTGTAGTATTTTAAATGGCCAACTAATTTAGAGTTGAAATTTGATCATCTTGTCAGCAAAACAATAAGTATCAAACTAGTACCTATTAGCTTTCTATATTGGTTTACATTTTTAATGTGATTCTTGTATTCCTTACTTATTTGCAATATGATGATAAATATGGCTTAAGGATTATGCAGAAAAAATCTTGACTTGTTTGCAGATTTATAAAAGATAACAAATCCGATGTGATTAAATCCTTGTTAATGCTTTGATTATGTTTGTCTTGCAAAAAAGACTTTGCTACTATATAAATTACATGTGTTGAAGTGTCAAATTGTTAATCTTCCTAAATATTTTTCTCTGTCATATCACTTCAGGACATATGTGATTGCGGTTCTCCACAGCTTCCTCTCTTGTTGATCTTGGCAATATTTGTTCCTTTATAACTGCTCTTTCTTTGTGGCATACATCTTCCCCCATCCATTTGCTGAGATAGTTACTCATTGTGTTCAATGAGTGTTTATTTCTCAAACCCTTTTTTCCTCATTGTATTCTTAAAGTTCCAGCTGTCTTATTCTCACTTGTTTTATTCAAAATAAGTTTGAAATATCTGGACTTGAGATGAAAACTTTAATTCAAGCTCATATTGGAAAATAAAAAGTTCTTCCAAGTTCCTAAGCAAGGATGCTGCTCTTTGTATTGTGGAAAGTTATCGCTTTTTCCTATTCTCTTATTTCTTAGAGAATCTGAAATCATAAGCCATTCTTTGAAGTTAAGAATTTTCTGTTAGTTTACATTGTACTTGCATTTTTTTTAATATGTAAGTACAATAAATCCAAACAATTTGGTTATTGTCATTTAGATATAATGTAGAGCTGTTGGGTGTGTATTTGCTTGTGGCTTTTATTTTTTGCTTTTTGTCTTCAGATACAAAAAATTAAGTGAAGAATTGTTAAAGAAAATTAATTTTTAAATAATATAAACAATTTTTGTAATTTTAGCATTTTCAATTAAATATCTTAAAGCTGAAAAAATATGGGTAACTGTGGCAAAGTAATATCTCTTTCATAAACTTTCTCAATTTTTTCATTGTCATAAAATCATTACCTTGGCATATAATTTTGTATTTTTCAATGGAACTATTTTAATCTAAAGGAAAACATACAGCTGCTTTTTTTCTTTTCTATTTTTACAAGTTTTTAGATGTCCTGGCTTATAAACACCAGCAATAGAAGAGTCCATTTTTACTCTACAATTGGCAGTAGAAAAGTTCATTTCACTATACAGTACATCTTGAATGTGGATGCCAGGAATTTGTTAGTATAGTTTTGTAGTTAAACTGTAAAGGATAAAAATTTTCACCAGTTATGCGAATAACTATAACTTGATTCAAATGACAGAAATCTTCCTTTTATTAAAATTTCTTTATCACATTAAAGAAACTGAAGTCAAACTGCTTTTGGCCATAGTTAAATTATTTGAGAATTTCACTTAATTAGCATTTTTTCCTGTTAAAATCAGTTTTATTAATAAAAACTGAATTAATTCTTATTCTTGAAACAGTTATTTTAGAATAAGGGAATTTTTTCATAGATATGTTTTTCTGCTTTTATATTTGTAAGAATATCAGTATGAAAATTATTTTTAATTTGATGAAAAAGGTTTCTATGAAAACCTCGAACAATGGTTGCATTTGCATTATTTGTATCTTTTTGTTTTTTTATTTCTCTCTCTCTCTCTCTAGAATCTGCAGAATTAAAGGAACATCAGAATGGTACATATTTGTTTTTTCATTTAAAGGATAAAACTTCTTCCCGTCTTCTAAAACATTTTCTTTTAATAATATGGACATTTAATGTCTCTTTTGTTCAACATAGTGACATTTATTTTTGTCCAAGGGATATTTTTTTTTTTTATAAAACAAATTGGACCACTATTCTCCATTTGGTATCTCATTTTTTCTTGTGGGTTTTCCTTTTGCCGTCATGTTTCTCAAGATTTTAATTAAATTTCTTTCAACTTGCTGATTGAAGCTGAAAACTTGTCTGCCAACAGTAGTTAATAGGTTTTATTTGAATATCCTCTCACTAGACATTTGAACATTTATAGCTTAGAGCAGAGATTAACTTTTATATAAACTAGTTTACCTATGCTGTAAAAACAAGAAAATTACATTCTAAATGTTTATTGCATCCTATTCTTAAGACAATTGTTTTTTTTTTTTTATCTATCTTTGTAAGTATTTGTGTGCCTAATAGACTGGGTGGGGGTGTGGGGGTCGTGCACGTTCATATTTTGAGGAAATTTTCTGTCCATCCTGTTTATTAATTTTGTACCTTTGACCTTTTTAAATGATTTTCTGATCCTTCCTGCCCTTATTCAGATGCCCATTTATTTTCTAGAGGAAAATTCTGTTCCACCTCTTGTATTAGTCACCTAAGAGTAACTTTGGAGCATTTACAGTAAAGACACTGCCACTTGATGTGGCTAGTGAAAGGTAGATAGCTGTAATAAAGTAGAAATTTAGACAAATAATTACTTGTTGTTTGACAGATTAAGAAATCAATAAGTTGAAAGAAAATCTCAGTTAAATTTTTGAGGAACGAAATTTAAATGATGTGATAAATATTGGATGAGGATATTAGTCCAAAGAAATAGAATTTATATTTCTTTTTCCTTCCATCTTGTTTTTATCCATCCTGTTTAATTTTTAACCATATTATGATGTGAAATAATTAAGGGTGGTTAAAGATGTTCAAACTAAAATTGTATCCATCAAAAAAAAAAATGATGTTGAGTCATATACTCTCCAAAATAAATTTCTGAATTTTTAATTCTTGTAATTTTCTCAATTTTTTTTTTCTGTTACAAATTATTTACTAAACCTAATTTAGTTTTGGTAAGAATAAGAAAAATTTGATGTTTCTAACAGGAAGTTTAACTGCTGCAGAACATCCTGGGTATGATGATAAACTACATTCAGTAATGAGTCCTTTATCAGAAAATTTTGAGGAGCATGCAATCTCCTCTTAATTGTTGTTGTTCACCGTGACTTAGGGTGGTAGCACCTGTCAGGGTCCCAGCCATAGGTAAAAAGTGAACTGGGGGTCAAAACACTTGGAAAGTATAAAAATACGCTTTTTATAGTCAAAATTTCCAGTAATAGATTTTAATAGTTAAAAAAAATTTACTAAAGCTCCCCAAAAAATTAAATTTCAGTATTAAACGACACATAAGGAGTTGATATGCTGTTAGACAAACTAAACTAAAAACCTGCTTTGGAAATTAATATCTTAGCTTCTACTAGAACTTGAACACCCACTTTTGAAACTGGTGGGAAATATCTATCTATTTTAGCAATGAGCAATTATTGTTATATACTAAGTGTTGTTTTTTCTGGTACAATCTGATATTTGTAGGGTATTTGGTAAAGTTGAAACTGGCAAATTGACCTGCTATGTCATTTATTTAATGTAACCTTTGTAAGGGTTTAATTTTCAATGGCTCTATGGGAGAACTAAAAATTTTCACTCCTGATATAAGAAAGTACTTAGAAAACTTAGTTTAGTCTGGAACTGGGTTATACGAAAATTAGAAAGATAGTGTTGAACCAATCTTTGATGGCGGGGAGGATCTACATGCCATGAAAATCAACATTGGAAATTATTTTATCTAGACTTAAATGCTTAACTACAAGCATTTGTGAGTAATGCACAATTAACTTAGCCTAAATAGGCTTTGTGTCCAATATAAGTAAACAGTGCTTAACCAAAATTTTTTTAAAATGTTAATTTTTCTCACCCACCTCCCAAAGCTAGGTTGGTTTTCTAAATTCTAGAAAGATTGACACTATAATTTTTTTTACTCTCCTTCCTAACATTGTGTACTTGTAAAATCTGAGTTTTTCTCATTGTAATCATCTGATATGTGGTGTGGCATAATTATGTCTGCACTTTTTGTTGCTAGATATTTCCTTTTTAAAAAAAAGGAAAAAAGGAAAAAGGGTCTTATCACTGTTATACCAAAGTTGCTTGTGCAGTGTCAGTTATATTTGTTTTCTTTGTAAAATCAGAATATCTGGCAATAGAACAAAGTACAGGCAGAAATAGGCATATTGGAACATTGAAAGATGCCTTCCAAAATCTAAACAAAGTATTAAGAAACAGAAAACTTTCATGAGACCAAAGAAAAGTGCTGAATCCTCCAATATGGCAGTGAATACTGTATATTTTATTGACAAATGCTGAGGAAACTTGAGGCAACAGAAATCTGGTTCTATAGAAAGATGCTGAGAATACCATGGATGGAACATATGAGCAGCAAGGAGGTTTTAAGAGAAATGGAAACTAAAAGAACACTTAGATTCAGAAAGAATTGAAATTTTGGGGGTACATAATAAGGAAAGAGGGCTTGGAGAATTTGG